ATTCAATCGATATTTGATTTTCCTCTCATGTGACACCTGTGAAAAATATTTGCAATCCGCTACGCGATTTTCCAAGGAGGAACGTCGTCCTTATGAGGCTATTTCTTTCTCCAGCGAGCGAATCGGCGTTCACCGTCTCTTCTCGAGGTTCATCAGCGTAACTTCGACTGTCAGCCCGGACGTCCCACCGGCTGAAGTGTTTATCGGCACGACGAGCGGTCGGAGCTCCGGCTACATGTCCGTGTTACAAGCGCCGGTGCTTGTCCTTCGTGTCGTACCGGCAAATCACCGAATCTTCTCTCTCCGGCAGGACGTCGTGGAATCCGTACTATTCTCCGGCTGTTCGAACTGTACGCCGGCATCCGGAGGAATCTCCGTCGCGACTTCGACTCGATACCGTCGCGGCGTGGCGCGCGGCTTGTCTCTGAAAAATGAAGGATTCTGGTGGTCTCGGCATGTTCCGTTCGGTCGTCTCCAAATGACGAATTCGGAATTGATCGTCCGGCTCACGAAACACGATGTCGGAACGGTGATCGTCGATTGAACCGGACCATTGTTTGTCGCGCTCCGAAAATGTCCGGTGTGTCCGGTAATCGTTATTTAATTTTTATTACGTCGGAGGAATCCGAAGTCGAATGGTCGAAGATTTTTAAACGTTATTTTATTTCGAATTTTATTATATCGAAATGTAATCGCTGCACGCAGCATTTTCACTTCTTCTCATGCCTCATGCGTGCGCGACTTTCTCGCGAATCACGATCGATTCCGAGGCGGCGGGAAAAGTGAGCGGCGCGACGCGGCACGGCGATCGTTGCGTCGGCTTCGTTCTCTAGGTGGTCCAATAATAAGACAATAAGTTAGGCGCACTCGGATGAGACCGGCGATATCAGTGTGGGATCGAAATGCAGGACGAGAACGCGGGCGCGCGCGAGGGAACGAGGGAGAAGAGATCGTCCCGAGCCCATGCCGAAGCGAACGAAGCGAACGAACGGTATGCCGAGAGTGGCGCCAGGATTTCTCCTTGCCTCTTTCCCCGGACTTCGTCCTCTCTTCTTTTCCTATTCAGCCTCCTTGGCTCGCTCCGTCTCCCTCCCGCTCACTATCATTCCGTCTCTCTGCCTTTCGTCCATTATCCTGTGGTAACGGCCTAACGCTATCTCCCTCGTCGTCGCACTCTCGGGGAGAAGAGCCGTCGATCCAATTCTCTCCGTAGCCTCTTGGGAGAGCCGTTTCGACCACGGGAACAGAAATTAATAATCTCGACGAAGAGGTACACTCCTCTAACTGGCTGCATTCCTCTCGTTAAGGACGGGAATCCGCGTGAACGCCGCCGTGGATTCCGATTCTTATGTAGCCGGCGTCAGTTCCTTTCAAGAGTGACTAATTAAAGAGGATTCGTCGTAAAGGGGACTTTTAACGATTGGACCTTCGTGCGGCGTTTCGCCGGGCACCATCGATGGAATATCGATGATGCCGTTCTCGCTTTTTAAAGAGGTACCGTCGAATTTTTCATCAGCGTTCAAAGTCCCTTGCGTTTATGACTCCTCTTTACGTATCCGCGGCGTGACGCGCTTGATTTAAATTCACGCTCGGCGATCGACGATGAATCGGCAAAATCGCGCGCGGGTGCGCATTGGAAATCAAAGGGTATATTTTTTTTCAACGCCTTCTCCTTTCTTTTTCATAAATTAATTAACGTCCCGCTTTCGCAAACACTTTTAGAGTGGCCTTGGAGCAATTAATAGCCGACCGACGATCACGCGGACAGATTTCTTCGACTCACCACGGAAATCGGCAGGCGGAACGAAGCTGAGAAGGAGGGACGGCGGTAAAAAGGAAGAGGAAAAAAGAATGTTGCCGAGAGACGGAAAGAGATGGAGGACCGGTACGTCGCGGGAGGAGGGAGAGAGATAGGCGGAACGGCAAGAAAGGGAAACGGGATCCAGAAGGAAAGACCAATCGAGCGAGCATTATACGACTGGACATTTCGGGCATTTTTACGAAAGGGACGCGCAGGAACGCGTGTTCTATTAGCTAAGACAAAAGAGCGGCGCCTAAGCGGGGGCCCCTCGAAACGGGCCCCGAAACTGTCCGACGGCGTTTATTTATGCGTCGAACCGCGGAAAAAGATGTAAGTCCCCCGGTGCCTGCTGCATTCCTGCTTTCGATCCAGCACGCCCCGACAGGGATATTATCTCCCTAGGATATATAATCGACGTGTCCTCGAGGTCGTAAGGACGTATTTTTGTTTGAGCGCGGAGAAAGGAATAGGTTTGCGCGTACACTATTAACCCCGCGATCGCTTATCTGCCATACGGATGAAAAGACGCGCACGCGAAAACGGCACGGAACGTAACGGGATCGCGTCAGAGGGCGGCTAATCGCGATAAACCTGTTAATTATGAAGTATTAGTCGGTGAAGAAGAAAAATGTGGAGAGAAGGGAAGAAAAGAGGGGTAACACGAGGTGGCGGTCGGCTAGGAAATGAATCTGAACCTAATAAAAAAAAAAAAACATAATATTCCGCGACTGACGTTATTAAATGTCACGGTTTAATTACAAATTTCAATATCACAGATGAAAAATATCTGATAGACATGAAACGATCTATACAAGTTCTTTCAACATCTGTAAAAAATCTCCACTTCAATCGCATGAGAAATGCAAAAGCGAATCGCTTGCTGATTATAAAGTGAGATAATTGGCTCCCGAAACATAAATAAGATCATCATCAAACAAACTTCCGATCCCTTGGAGATACAATTTAATTTGAACGAATTGAACAAATACAATTTAATTCAAACCCTTCGCGGTTACATTTTTTTCGTAATGCGCTTTTTCCGGCTTCATTAATACAAATCGGCCGGGTTCGAGGTAAAAGCGAGCGAGGGGAAAGATTCCTTTTTGTCGTCGATCACGGGAGCACAGTAGCGTGCAACGACTTCCAATTCATGACAGCGCGACGGCAACATGAACGTTACGTGCTTTCGCGCCAATTATAATTATCAGCATTTCCACGGAGCGGCACGCAAAAATCGGCTCGAAACGTGCGGCCGCAGCGTTTACGATGTATTACTCCCCTCGCATTTAACAGCTACCGCCGAGCAATGTCTCGCTTAATACTAGCGATAACGTTATAAACGCTCGGCAACGTACGTATCTTTGTACGGGAAAAAATTAATTTTAAATTAAGATATTCTTAGAAAAGAAAACTCTTAGAAAATTCGGATTTAATTAAATTTATATTATATGATGCAAATATATTATGATATATTCTTATATATAAGCAAGAATATTATAATTTTCTTAAAAAAATTTTAATCTTGATTTGAATGAATTTGTATTGATGCAAATATTCTCGATAAATATTCTCGATATATAAGTAAAAATATTATAATCTTCATACAGAAGATTTTTAGTCTTGAGTTGAGCAAAAGTAATATACATCGATACAAATTCAATCGAATTGAGGTTAAATTTTCTAAGATTATAATATTTTTGCTTGTTATTAATATATATGAGAATATATAGTCTTGATTTAAGACTAATTTTTCTGTGTAACAAAGAAAGTTTTATAATTGTTTTATAATTGTTCTGTCTTAAAAGTACATTTTAGCATAAAATTTATAAAAATCGGTGGTTTATTTACCGCTATTTAAAGCTCCTATACATTTATCAAAATTAAATTCTTACATTTCACTACAATAAAATAATTAATTTATATTATATATATGAGCCAAAAGATAATTTTTTTAATTTAGACAAAGTGTACAAATTACTAAAATTTTCTCAGAAAGCTATAACAGTTACGTGTAAAGTCGCGCTAATATGTTATATGCATTAATCCAACGGACATATGTTTCTCGATTTGAAACGTGTACCGAATACTACTCGTCTGGCTTTTAAATCTCGCCTCGCCCGGGCTTATCAGCGATCACAGTGGTGCGAATGACAAATGTCCGGCGTGTCTTGTGCCACGGTCGTCGTTATTCGATCAAAATGCAAAGCGCAGCGTTGGCGAACGTCTTCTTCGTGTCCGAACACGAAATCATTTCACTCCGTTCCTCCACGGCCGTCTTCCTCCCCCGTTTCTCTCGTTTTTCTTTCTCGTTGACCGTGCAAACACCGCCGTTTCGAGTGTCTCGCGACGGTATCGCGCGACCTGAAACGGACGAAACCAATTCGCTTATCTCGACCGGGGCTTGATAAATTAATCGGCATTAAGGTAGATAAGGGAGGAGGCGCTGCGCCATCTGATACGTCGGAATTGCGTCGATGTATCAGGCCTAAAAACAGTCTCTCGGTCGTCGACTAGAACGCGTCGGATGACGTCACGCGGACGGATCCAGCGGTCGGTAGATCGGTCTCGGGGATTGTGAGAGATCATCAATACCGTATCTATTCGTTCATCTGCGCATACCGGCACCGCGGTGCTCGAGAGCGTCGGTTAGTCTTCTCTCCCTCGACAGATAATACATTATTCGAGGAGTTCGCAGAAGCTTCGGCGACGGATTTAATTAGCGTAAAACGATAACGCACTCGCAACACGTGGATCCCGCCGATCGACGCCGTAACGCGTTGCTCGGCGAGGTTGCGCACGATCGTAAATCTGGAGAATCGACACTCCTACGTCGGCACTAAAATTTTACTTCCTCCTAACAGTTTTCCCGTAGCTCTCGCGAAAGGGCATAAATCTCGCGGCGGTACGGATCCCGGCGAAAGTAGCGCAAGCGCAATTAATTCTGTGCCTTCTATATGCGGTTTATAACTCGCGCGATGATTTACCGCCTCGAGGGGGCGAAGCGTCGAGACGCTTATATATTCTCGCGGGACGCGAGACGTTTCGTTGATCGCAGCGAGGAAAAATTTTAACGGCGCCGTAAACATCGTTCACGAACAATCTAGTTGCCGTCACGGGAAATACTTAGAAATGTAAAAATATAAAATATTACGACGGAGCCGCACGAAAGACTCGAAATACGCACAATTGTCATCGCGATGGCATCAAACTTGACGAAACTTAGCGAATTAACGTAGTTTCAAAATATGTTGTAAAGATACATGTTGTAAAAAAAAATATAATAAAGGAATTAATATCCCGTGAATTAACTTTTTACAAATAACTTTTTATTTACATCACATTTATTTCTTTTTCTCGACCTTTTTCTCAGCTTTTCTCCCGTTGCTGACCAGACAAGATCGTACGAGTTCATTCACGGCGGACGTGCAATAAATGGATGCATCGGAGAAGCTTTACGTCTCCATAATGTGAGCTCGACGCACGTTAAACGTGCGGGACGTTGGAAGCGGACGAGAACGAGGAGCGAGACCGTAGACGCGATAGTCGAGTTTATAACGCAAAATTAATAGAGCTTATCCCGTGCCGCTCGTGCCGGCGCGGCCTTTTGGCAATTTATCATGGGATTACGGTGCAAATACGTCAACCAAGGGTCGAACCTTCCGAGGCGCTCCCGTCCTCCCTTGTGTCGTAGGGCACGGCGCCGTTGCGCGATCCCTTCACCCCTCTATCCCGCTCGCGTCATGGGCGCAGCAATCACTTCCTGTGTCAATAAACACAGCTCTTCCCGTTGGTTCACCCCTAATTCGAGCCAGCACCCAAGGGGATCGGCGAACCGACACCACCCTTTCTCCCTAATGTTCCTTCCTGAATTTTACAGTCTTTTCTTTCTTTGATCCTGCAACATTGATTCCTTCTCGTCGCTGCCAGCGCAGTTTCTCTCGTGCTCCTCGGAATACAGTCGTCCGATCCTGCTTTCAAATCATGTAATCCGATCATAAACTTCGCGCTAAGAAAATTGATTCTGATATTCGTCAGAAAATTTGTCGGCGATCCTAAAACCATTATATTTCTAACGAATTTCAACATTACCGTCATTTCTTAGATAGATTTATTTCAATAAATTCAATCACACGTTATAAGCTCTAACTAACGAAAAAAAAATAAGTAAAAATATAGAAATAAAGATTTTTCATCGATAAATGGAGAGTACTTGATAAATAGAATCCCGGGAGAGGGTTTCATGGATCGGAAGTCGCCAGAGAACGGAGATTTATTCCAACGTAATATCGAATGCTCGCCGGCGCCTATGACGAGTCGACGGCGAGTTGCGAGCTGGGGATGCGTTATACCGGCACGCGCACCACTTTCGCATTATCCATTATTCCTGTCGGCATTACAATGACAATGACCGCAATAACGATCGCGTCGAGATCGGAAGAGACGCGAGAGACGCTGGGGGTCGACACGTGGGGTGAGAGAGAGCATACGCACACGTCGGCGCGACGCGTCGGCCGACAGCTCGGAAAATTGCTAACAAATAATACCGCCGGGGATAACGATACGGGGGTGCCGGGCGTCTCCGACCCCATGACCAGATCGCTCGTCCTTTTTGCGCACAATCACCCGTGAGATTCCGGCCGATTCTTGGCTGCTCGGCACGCTCGAAACGACGCGACGATTACGTCACGAGATGCGTGTATCGGCGCGAAAGATACGCGAGACGAGAACGTGAAACGAGGAGAAACGACGACAATATGTAATTAAATGTTCTTACATCGACAGATAATTATGGCCGTGCGGATTCGCGATTTATCGCCGTCAGACTAATTCGTAAAATAATGCAGCGCGCTCGAAATTACGTCGCGTGAGCGATAAAACTGGGGACGTGTAAATGTCGCCCGGCCGATAAATAATAATACGCGTCTACGTGCGCGTCGAAATTATACCGAAATCCGACCGAGGGCCGACCGACACGGGGTTGAGAATGGTGTGTGTGCGCGTACTACTTCGTAATTTCAATCGTTAAAACGACATCGAAAAATTATCCGCGGCGTATCGGTCGACACGTAAGTACGAACGGCGTTACGGACAGGTATATAAAGATATAAGTGCAGTCCGGCTCACTTCCAGCCGCGCGAATCGCAATTCGATCCACTCTGGACGTATAATCAGGTATGCAAATGCCGGATGCGTGTGCGTGTGCGTGTGCACGCACGTCGGCGTGTCCAAATAACGTGTAACTGTCAATATCGCGAGCAGCTTTTGCGCGCGGTAGCAGTATCGCGCACACATCGAAAGAGAAACACAGTCTCGTATTTTGAAACGCTAACACTTAATGGAAAATTGATAAAATTATTAAAAAATTTCCGTAATGCAAATTCGCTTGGATTTTAATCGAGCGTGAACAGTAAGAATTTACGCCAACTTTTCGAAAGAGAGCGGTAGCACTCATTCACGCAGTGTGAGGCCGTATTATCGTCCTCTAGCTTTCCAATTACAACTGTTTAGTTCCATAACAACGCTCGTAATCGAGCGCCTAATGCACGGCCTCGACGGAGCCGGCGCGTTTCCGCGCGTCTCGCGTGGGTAATTTGCAACATCGTTACCACCAACGTCTCTCAGGAAGTTTCTCGTAATTCTGCAACATGGTATACGAGAGAGAGAGAGAGAGAGAGAGAGACAGAGAGAGAGAGAGAGAG